CACTTTGTGGTATCTAACCGAATAGTATCTAAATCGACACCTATCCTTATTGGGAATCTTCAATGCGCTGCGATAGAGTCGTATAGTAGCTGCTACAAGGTTAAAGTTGATGTTGAATCACGGAGCATAGGTACGTCAAGATCACTAGAGAAGAGTGGCACATCTATCACAACATCATCGATCTGGTTGTGAGTTTTTTCAATCCGAAGACAGCCAATAATCTAGAAAGATTTCCTTGGACTATAATCTATTTAGTACTGCATACAGCTGTCGAACCATGGCAAATTCAAACAGCCACAACCCATTTGGAGATATTTCGTTGTGGAGATTGAATTTTCCGACATCGTATACCAAGAGATGGGGGTTCATTAGTGAATTGGAAAATAATTGTGTGCATCTCTAAGTGACCCTTATAGGAAATGTCACTAGTAAATACTCGTCTTCGTTCTTTTCCTTGTCTTGTTCATCGCATTTCTGGGAGGACGGTGATGCCAGTCTTTGCTCTTACGAGGGCATCAACTAGCTGGGTAGCGGCTCCGTAAGAGTTATAAGTTTAGACAGTTCGGCTATAATTCCTTAATACGTTTGCAGTGCTCGTCATCAGAATTTGGGTCTAGGTAGGCTTAGATGTTGGACAAAATAACGACTACCGACCGAGGTCGCGCTTTCGGTGAACAGGCGCCATGATAAGACTTCAGCAAACCTCCAAATCGAATATTTTGGAGTAACTCCACTGTAGCATCTTTTCTTTCAACTGTAGCCTGAAACTAAACACGGGCTGGTTACCCTATCTCGTACAAGTTACTCTTGTTTCCAGGGTGATCGACGTGAACGTAAGACTACACCCCATTTCTATCTAATATTTGACCCAACTGTGCAGTAATACAGTTTTCTAGCCTAAGAAAGGTTTCGATAGTGAGTTCGAAATTTTGGTAGGATAGGATGGTTGTGTGTCTTCCCGTTAAATAAACAATAGGAATTTGAGAAATGGAATAATCATTCCAACGAAGCTCATAATAAATCGATTGCTCCGGGAAGCACTTCAAATTTGTTGATGGGTTACATGCGTATGAAAATTGGATATGAAAGCGAATTTACAGAAGAAAAAACCCAAACAATCGGCAGTCTTAATTGAAATCCTAAACAAATCAAACGAGCCAGCGGATGCCGCTTTCAAATCTATTCAAATATTCGGCAAAATAAGACTGAGGAATAAATTTTACTTTAAAGTTTCTGGCAAAAGAGAAAAAATAAACGCACAAGTAGGCACGCGAAATGCAAAAATGCGACAAGTTTAAACCGGCAAGTGCGCACACATACCTACTCAGTCTCATTTAAAATGTACTCGTATGCACTTAGCCTTTTTAGCCAAAAAACTATTTCTTACTTTTACACACTTTTGAAATTGACTAACTTTTCTGCCAACTGAACAAACTTTGTGACCATTGCAAGCTGCAAATTGTTGGTAAGTCACTACGTTTAGGGTTGGGTATAAGTACCCTGCAGGGTAAAATACTTCTTGTTAACTAGAATCTAACTGATGTTCCTTTTGACACTAACTTCTTCATGTTCCAATTAGTTTACTGGTAAGCATCTAGTATTTTTAACACGACGATATCATATGAACGGTCAATTGTCAGCCTATGCATCAGCCTCATACTAGTTCTATACCAGTTCATATAGGCATGTTGAATATCTACTTCACAAAAAAAAAATTAAAAATAAAATGAGTTTTCCTGCCTCGAGAATCGGTCCGAGAGCCTTACGCGCTACAGTGAAAACCTCTAACAAAACTACTGTCGTGATAACAGAGCAGAGCAAAGAACAGAATACAGTCGTGGCTTGCTGATATTACAACAGGAGAGGGTGGTGGAAATTATTATTTCCCACGTTACTGGTTGACTGCTATATAAATAAACATTTCGTATAATGTCATCTTCAAAATCACGGTGTTTAACTAGAATTTTTGCAATCCAGTCTACCTTCTCCCTGCAAGGTAGCAGTAGCATAGCATTGAAAGTACTCCTTCATGTATACATATATACATTTTTACATATACTGGCATTCATAGCATACACATGCATATGCCGTTTTTGTATATTTTATTTGATATCGTTACCCTTTCACTTTGTTGCATTGCCCCTAATGGGGTCGGAAAGTTTCAATCACTTAAATTGACTGCTGTTGTATTAGCGAGAGTTGCAGCCTTTACACACATGCATTTATATACCTTTGCATTCATACACATATATTTATTTATGAGTAGTGGTAGTTATATGCCACCCTACGTGTTGCTGCACGCACCACTGTGATGCTTTGCTTTACCTTTGCATCAATCATTGCATATTTAGAGCAAGCAATTATTGTGAATCCATATTTGTCTCCTGGTATGCATGTAAATATATATATATGTATGTTATGTATGTATAAAACTTTGCATAAGTATATCGTAGAGTAGAAGATGCGGCAACCAAACCGCAAGAGCAGAATTTTAAGTGGAATCACTCCAATAGTTACTGTCTGAGGGTCGGCTGAAGTCGAATTGCAGCTTCTGCTAACCAGAGCTCCAGCTGCGAGCCGACGTTGGTGTTGACGCTAGCGTCTCCCTATATGAACGTTTAGATTTGGTACCCGCCACGTAGAAACTAACTCACACAACATTCCGCATGAAATACATCTTTTTTGATGGCGACTACTGCAAACGTATTAAGGATCACGATTTGAGTGAGAGCATGCACCTTGAATGTCCCATCCTTTAATTGGAAGGGTACCTCCACTGCTCGTTGTTGTCGTAAGGCCTAAAGGCTGATGGTACCGCCATCAAAGAAATGCGTTGGACGGGACAAGAACAGAAACGAGTATACCCTCCTGCATTCATCACAGCGTCCACAAAAAAGAGTGCAAGTTCATTGTCAAATTTTTAGTGTTAGAGAGACTTCGGTGCAGAAAACCGGTATTCATCTCGGTGATTTGTGAACACAACAACGACGGATAAGAAAGACGATGCGACCAAGGACGCCTTTTATGAGCACCTGGAGCATACTTATGAGTGCTGCCCCGCTAGAATGGGAAACCTGTGTTTGGATACTTTAACGCCAGGGTAGGCAAATAAGGCATCTTCGACACAGCTGGGGAAAATTTAGCCTTCACAACGAAACTCAATAGATTAACACTAATCGACTTCCACGTGGCGCGAAATATGGTTATGGTGCTAGTTTCCAGCATTCGAAATTTGTCACGCTACATGACTGCCTCCAGATCTAAAATCCACCAAATGTGCTCTGCCTAATGCACCAAAGGGTGGAGCAATAACCATTGGATAAGCCTCATGTGTAACGCTTAAACCTACCATATGCAAACTCATTAGACCATTTTTTGTGGCTTTAGACCTGTTAAATCTACCATTGAGGAGACTTGTCGATTTCAAAGTATCCATCGGCAGCAAAAAAAGGAGCTCCCCCATGTCGCTTCGTCTTAGTTCGGTATCTCCGCAATGTTTACTAATTTAACTAAAGAAAAAGGTGTTTAACTTAACTATTCGACTATAGACCTGTACTTCTGAAACCACAAAATGGGTAATCTTAAAAAATGCAATACAAAAAAATGGACATAGTAAAAAGACATCGTATAATTGCGGTTGCTCCTCGGCAGTGAATATCAAGCCCTCTGAGTGTATTTTTATTGTGAAAAGAAATACGCATAACCACAAAATTGGAGGAGTCAGCGGTTACAAAGCGTCTTGTTCGAAATAAAGAGAAGAATAACCCATCTGGGTACGTTTTTCCATCTGAATATATTTCTGTACTTTATTATAATTGTCTACTGGACTGTGGATGCTGGACTGTGCAGTCCAACGAATCCTCGTGGTAAGTATGGTCATTAAGATATATACGATTGACTCATACCGCAAAGTGCTAGGATTGGGGTTGTGGTATGGGTACGATAGATTAAATTATATACTTGCCTACAGAGCTATAAAATATTGTTCCGAACCAAGATTTAAGGTTTCCTCTGTTGTATTTTTCAAATAAAAGTAAAAGTTATAACGATAGCTGTGATTTGCTGCATGAAGCCTACCTGTAGCCAAGAGCTATTTATGTATACAACATGTGTTCGCTCAAAAAGCCATCAAGACTTTGCTCTGTGCAGACGAGTTAGAGAAACAGCTCGAAGTTCTGTTAACAATGGGCAAAGCACACTTTGTTTTCAAGCTGAAGCTGATGCATCCCCTTCTCAATTCCACGCCACCTTATTCGAAAAACTCTGTCTATAGACCTTCGACTCCGCCGTTTAAGTTTTTATTCCTCAAACAGGGTAGCCCAATAAATATCGGGTATCGGAATGTCTTTTCATCGTAATCAGAGATTTTCGGGTTCACCATATCCTGAAGTGTTGAACTTTTACTGCTATTCCGTAAGCCGGAGAAGTGCTCCCTGTATAAAATCAGCATGTTGTATTTAATCATCATATAACATCATTGGCTGCAACATGAATGTGTTCCAATCTAGTAGTTTTCTATAAGTCGCCGTATACCTCCATGGAACTTCGAGCATTATCCCTGCCGGCCAGCTTCCAGTTACTTAAGCTCTTCATACTAACCCATTTCCGTCCATTTTATTTTTTTGTTTTTTTTTTTTGTCTGTACATCCGTCTTACTTACCTATACAATTTTCACTATTTATCCCATCTGCGCATGTTTTACACGCTCTTCGATGTATAACTCTTCGGCCTTGGCGCATCTGCCAACTTCCATTGGGATAATTGGGCCACGTCGTAAATATTAGTTTTGAGCAGACCTTGTAGAAGATCGAGTTGCTGTAAATTGCTTTTGGAGAGTTAAAGTGCAAGTCAAAAAGAATACACTAAATAATAAACAGCAGGGACTGCAATTTACAGCAAAAGAACTCAGCCCATCCGAAGCCGAAAGCTACAAATTTCATGATGATGAGAACGAATTAATGATTTTCGGTAATAAAGAGAAAGTGGGCTTATAACTAAGATCAATTTCGACCTTGGAATTTCTAAACAATCTGAAACAAATTTCATTTGAAAAATCTGGGCATCGTATTGCCCAATTTCATTTCATTTTATTTTTTAGTGCACTCAACATCTGGCAACTCTTGTTCCGTTTCTTCCATTTCAGCAACACATTCATCGAGGCTTTTATGCATAAGAGCTTTCTCTTCATTTTCTTTAAAAGTTTGTTCCATATCCTCTTTAGACAGTCGTTTAAAGAAACCACGCTGAAAGAGTAGAAATAAATGTTTATAAGAAATTTAGTAATAAAAAAGAAGAAAGAAGAAAAAAGAAAGGAAAGTATATTACTCTTTTCAATAGAAGAGAAATGCACGTCAATAATAGTAAGCCACCCAAAGAAGCAACAATATAGATCCAAAGAACGCTTCGCTTGCTGATCTTAACAACGAGGACAGCATTGATGCGTTTCTTGATATTCAAAAATCTAGAAAATTATTGAATATTAACTTTGTTTGCATAGAATCCGAAGAAAAACTTTCGTACAAATCGTGGAAATTTTATCTTTAAAACGAACTTTATTATGAAACACTCACCCTCTTAGCTCTCCAGCTGGCTTCAAATCAAGCGTGACAACATGTGCCAAATTATCTTTATTGGCCAATATCAATTTCTCCAGAACTTTCAAGTGAATTGTGTATTGTAATGTCAGAGTTAAATTTTTCTCTGGTTTAAACAAACCCAACAAAGTAAAATTGCTTAAAGAACACAACATATCTAAATTGGGTTGACAGCTAAGGAAGATAGTCTGCTCATTGGGAATGTGATTGATATTCAAAAACTCGGTGCCATTTACTTTAGCTGTCATTGTTGGCTTTGATTCTCCAAACTCCAAGGGATACAAAAAATCTTGTGTCCGCACTTGCGCAGAGTAATTGCTGACATAATATTCAAACGAATCTCCTTTGCTCTTTTGTGATATGGGAAACTCAACGATCAAATGAGGAGTCTTCAACGAGCTCGGACCGCTATTTTGTATCTGAAAATTCAGTAATAAAATTTATAAGCCTTGAACTAAATAAGGTTTTGAGCTCACTATATAACTTCTTGTAATTCCAACTGTATCTGCAGCATCCTTAATGGAAATGATATCACCTGCAGAGGACCTTTAATATTTCAAATTAAAAATATATAAGTAAATTCTTTGGAAGCTGTTAAATAAGTCAAAAGATAGAAAATCACAAGAGAGATGCACACAAAAATCTTAAAGCAAAATATAATAGAAGAAAAAAAAGAGATAATATTATTTTAATTAAATTTAGATAAAATAAAATACAAAAAGGGAAATAAAAGAATTTAATTAAAATAAAATAAAATAAAATAATTTAAAGCTAAAAAAAAATTAATTTTTAAAAAAATCAAATTAAGTTAATTTAATTTAATTTTATCAAAATAAATTATCTCAAATTAAACCAAACTAAAATAAAATTAAATTACATTAAATTAAATTGTATTAAATTAATTTAATATAATTAATTTATTTAATATAACTATAATAAATAAAATAAAATTACATTAAATTAAATTAAATTAATTAAATGACATAAAATAAAAGATATTAAAACAAAGTAAAATATATTAAAACAAAATAATACTCTACTTTATTTTTAAGAAATAAAATAAATTAAAATAAATTATAAATATATAAAGTTAAATGAATTAAAAAATGAAAATAAACTGTAAATATATAAAGCAAAATAAAAAAAAAATATTAAATGAAATAAAATTAAAAAATATAAATCCAAGTGCACTGAAATTAAATAAATTTTAATTAAGTTAAACTATACTATATCAAATTAAATTAAATTAAAATAAAATATATTGTATTAAATTAAATTATTTTAAATTAACTAAAACTAAAATAAATTAAATAAAATTGCATTGAATTAAAATAAATTAAATTAAACTAAATTAAATTCAATTAAGTTCTATTATTATATAATATATTTGATTTAATAAAATAAAATAAACAAATTAAATAAATTAAATGAAACAAATAAAATAATAAAATTAAAAAAAATTAAATTGAATAAAATTAAATTAATTTAAACTAAATTATATTAAATTATTTAAATCTAATTAAATCAATCTGCATTAAATTAAATTAAATTAAATTACATTAAATTAAATTAATTTAAAATAAATTAAATTATATTAAATTAACTTATTATAAATAAAATACAAATAAAATAAATTAAATTAAACCAAGTTAATTTAAATTTAATTGAATTAAGTTTCAATATGATAAATTAAATAAATTTATTCTAATTAAATAAAATAAAATAATATAAAATAAAATAAAATAAAATAAAACGGAAGTAAAATAAAATGAAATAATAAAAGAAAATAAATTAATATAATATCAAATAATAGGAAATAAAATAAAAACACTAAAATTAACTAAACTAAAATAAAATAAAGTTAAATCAAATTCAGCAAAACAGACTATAGTTAAATAAAAAAAAAATAAAATCAAATGATAATTATAAATTAGAATTAAATAAAGTAAAACAAAATTATATTGAAATAAATCAAATGAACGTAAAATAAAATAGGTAGTTAAAAATTAAATGTCATAAATAATATGAACATATTAGTATAAATAATTAAATAATTAAAATCATACAAAATAAAGTCAAATAGAATTAAGAAACATGAATAAAGTGAATTTAAACAATTGAGCAATTAAATTAAAGTAAGCAATAAATCATATCGTAACTTACTCCGTTATCCAAATTTCTGCAGATGTAATTAATTCTATTCTATTGGACACACGGTTATTATCAGGTGTTAATTCATTTCCAGCACTGTAAGCCACTGCATTTATAATGACATATTTAGCACCCGCAATTTCGCTGATATCCAAGTTCAACTCTATTTCTGTATTTCCTGCAAATGCTTGCCTCTGCGCTATGCTGCACACAACTCTCCAGTCCACATCAAGTTCTTTGGCACACTCAGCTGGCATTCGCATAATGGGAATACTTAGCGAAGAGCTTATGATCAACTTTGTGTAAAGAGCTTTCTCGCCCACGTTCGATATGTTATATTTTATCGGTAGGTGTTTAGCACTTCCCAATGTGATTTTGTTGCTTTTATAATGGAAATAATAAAAATTATTATTTTTTCTCAGATCCTTTTAATCATTCATTTACGGTATATCCACACTTCGAAGCTGTAGATCGACCACGCAAACGTTACCCTCACAATCATGCAAGTACTGAATGGTAGTTCTAGTCACATTCGGGAAGGAAGGATCCACAACAGCGCATTCCTTACAAAACTCTAAAAAGAATGTACAAAATCATTGTAAACTTTATTCTATTAAACTATCTCCGATATATATAATTATTATGAAACTCACCTGAATCTTTCGATGACTTTGTGTTGTTATATAAGAGATAAGAAAGTTCAAATAACATCGGCACGAATACAGAAGCTTCATCAGATGTGATATTCGGTTGGCATACAAAGCACTTTGGCTCAAGTCGCACTGTGATGAGCTCATCGATGCAGACTCCGATGGAAATCCTTCCATAGCTAGAATCTGCCTTCAAATCGAATAAAACCACTAAACTTTCTAAATGTGTAAAATTTGTAAGGAAATTAACGCAGATATTTATTTCCACTTGAGTTGCATTTAATGGAATAAAAGCATTGGTGGCTTCTAAGGAAGCATTTATCTTGACGACGGGATAGGAGCTATAATAGAATACTCTATCCACATTTGGTGCACCAACGGCGAAGCTGTTAGAGTGATAGTAGACCCCATTTGAGAGACCCAAGCCGAACATAGCATTCATGCCGACTAATTGAGGAAGCGCTTTTAATATTTGTCGGGGCTGGGATTCGAGTCCGTTTGGTCCTCCGAAATAAATTGCAACTGCACCTTCACTATGATATCCACTGGACGGGGCGCCAATTGCTACGTCTTAGGATTGAGTAGAGAATGATTATTTCATAAATTCAGGAAAAATAAATCAGAGGTGCTGAAACTCTTAAGAATTGTCTCCAATTTATACAAAAATTTTGGAGGCAACTTACCATTATAACCATCCCTGTTTATATCACCTAATTTACTGAGCGCCGTTCCGAAACGTCCACCTTTCGAAAAAGGACTCATCAATAGAGACTGCTTAAAAAGCAACTACAAAAAGAGAACGAAAAATATTCGTCATGAGAAAATTATCGGATTAAAAACAATAAAAGACAGAATCAAACTCTCTAATAAGTGATTTTTTTTTAAACCGTAAACCGAAGGTCTACTGAACTTTTTTTTAAATATTTTCGTATTAACTAAATGTTTGCGCCAGTTTAAACACCTTTGCATCTCAGGATGCTGGTTGGAACAAGTTGAGAAACCACTCACGATGAATCTCATTGAGAGATCTGCAGGCAGGAGTATCCCAAGAGGCTACGCACAGGCATCACTCCCACGATTAGAAAAATCGTAAAGTTTGTCGCTTAGATTGTGGTGGGTATATCCGCTACAAGCAGCGCTAATGGTGCGATGGAACCTTTGCGGTTTCAGACATCTTCATCAATATTGTCTGTGCCACCCTAAGACACGAAAGTGCCGTATGTCACAGAGAGAGGTACAAGCTGCTAATATGTGCGAATATGAGCTAGGCGACACCTTACAGAAGACTGTTTTCATACTGTGGGAGATCTGAATGGATGCGGCACTGATGGTGGACTTGCTGCATCGAAAGTCAGTTTCCCTACAGGCCTTTAAATAGTCAGTTGCCCGATTGGCTGGATTGGATGGTGTTATCGAAATAGTGGGCAGCTGATCATCAAAGAGTAGGATTGCTCCTAACCAGCACTTACTCATATGCAGCTTTTTACGACACCCGAATTATTTTGACAACTTGGTTGCTTTCCTACAATCGGAATTTTTTATGAGAAATTTCATTTTCTATTGTCACCCTATTTTCGATAAATATTTTCACTCAATCGTTTTTATCGGAAATCTAATCTAATAAACCGTTAATGTGAATATAGCCGAGCTATCGACAGCGCCAGTAGCTGCTGTATTTCGCCATTCGACGGCTACTGGAGCGAATAAGCCAGATCGTTCTATTACAGGTGTAGTTCTTCTTCTTCTACTGCAACGAAAACTTTCAGAGTTGTGTTGCTCTCATTCATTCAGAAGGCACGGCAAACAAAACCGCTGTCTCTTGGTGCACTGAACTTTGTTAATGTATAGCTTATCATTCCATCGGCTTTAGCTCTCGATCTTACAAACCGCAAGAGACCATAAATCTTCTACATAAATTTTCTCTCGTAAACTCTTAGCGCCGACTCAATAGATGTTGTTATCTTCGCCGTACTGCAGTACAGAAATCATGAGCGACTTGTTGAGTTCACAATTCGTTCAGCGAGAGAGGTATTTATTTTTCAATTGTCTACTCAGTCCAGTGTAACATCTGTTGGCATTACTGCATTCTCCAGACTAGATAAAAAAGTGTAGTAATCACTGTTGACGGTCATAACTTCGAGATCTTAAATAAAAATGTCTATCTAAGGATTTTTATGAGAATTTTTATGTCATATCAAAAAAGCACCCGGAGAGCTTGATATTCACTATAATTTATTGTAAATTTTCTATAATTTTATATATTGCCGAGTATTAGTACGCCATATTATATGCTATATTAGAACGCTAATCTCTCCGCTATAGCAGTCAATGGGTATATCTCTTCTCATTCTTGTTCTTATATACTTTTGTCCAAAGTAAATATTACCATTTTATACTGCTGAGTTTAATTTGAGAATTATTACAATTTATTTTATTTACTTTACTGCATATGGCCAGCTCGGGACGTACAGTGCTCAAAATTTTGTAAATATACAAATTACGACTTGAATTGGTTTAAGCTTCTTATGAATGAATCTCTGCAGCAGGTATCTTGTCCAGCTCGTCACTGTCACATCTGATTACTGTTCCATCTAATTGACCCGATCAATGTTGCATAATATTTTAGCACACTTACCTGATTTTCGGCACCCTGGTTAATATACATATACACAGCACCAGCATCGAAACTTCCTCTCATGCTATGAAAGGGAGCACTTATTAGAATATCATCCAAGCCATCGCCGGTGAGGTCATCCACCAATAATGCATAGCCATAGAATTCACCATATTGCTCGCCACTCAATTTGGCTCGATGAAAATATTTTTTCCCCTTCCTTCTATAAATTAGCGCCTAAAGCATACATACATACATATAAGTAATGTGAAAATTTTTAATAAAACAAAACAAACTAAAAATATACACTAATTAACGATACGAAAAACTAGGTAGTTTTGCTCAACATTTTTTTTTTAAATATTAACCATCTGTCAATAGGCTTCAGCGGTAAAAAAGCGACATTTATATATATATATATATATATATATACACAAGGCATCTAACATAAAAAGTTGTCTGTGATTTCTGCTTAATTTTTGTACTACCGATTTCACTTTTTCAAAAATAAATTTTCAGCTTTCTAAACTTAAAAAATATATTAAAATAATGTATAACAAAAAGTATAGGAAAATAAAACGTACTCAAAGGCTTAGCATTGCATTTTCTGAACTTTAATGTAAATATATGTAGTATTTTAAAAGTCAAGGGGTTACATAGGTCCTGAAACTTCAAAAAATTCATTTGCGATAATTTTTTTGTATAAAAGGAAAAAGTGTCAGAAGTATTTACCACAAGTTTCAAGTCGAGCGAGACGCAACTGTAGAAATTAGATAGTTTTATAACCCGGCGTCTTTGTCATGGCTTGACCGATGGCGACACTTTAAATGCGATTTTCTTAAAACCACTTTATCGAAATTGGTAGTTAAAATTTCTCAACGACTATTGAAGCGATCGAGTTCAAATGTTCCACACTTCTTTTAAGCATGTTTTTGTAGTCCCTGAACTAAGGATAGATTTTAATTTTATGCAACAAATGTCGTTTTTTGTAAAAAAAAAGCTACAAAAAGTTCTACTTTTAATTTTTTTAATTTTTCTTTGTGCAGGGACAAGGAAACGTCTCCTAGTTTGAGAAAAAATTTTTTTTAATTACAGATAAAAATTGGAAAAGTTATCATGACTACCGCGAAAGTTCTTTCTTGTGGACGGTCTATTTCACGACACTGCCTATGCCTTAACTTATACTATTTTTCAATCAAATGTTCACCAAATTTAATCCACATTTCATATGTAAATAAAATAATTTGTATATCTTATTTAGTATCTTTTAAAAAAATTAGAGAAAATAAGCCTTTTTTGGTCTTCAAGACCTATGTACCCGTTTAAAGTTGAAGTTAAAAAGAAAATGTGATGTAATATCAAAAAACCTTTGAAGTTAATTTTATATTGAGTGAAATCACCTTCCCTTTGTGTATCGTACACTATTTCATATTTACTTTGCCAAGCTTGCTGCTTATTCCACCATAAGGTATGGTCGTAATATAATTATTCTCTTTTGTCTTATCAAAATAACCATAGTCTACGGCATATCCCCCATAAGAACCCGTATTCTTTGTGGGTATTTGTTTGGCGAATATTTTTTTTACCCCATCATAATGTACTGTTGCTCCTGAAATTTGTTTTAAATATTTTGTGGAGAAAAAAATGTATATATATTTGACTAAATACCTGACCAACCCAAAACACCAGGCGCACCGAATAAATATTCATCGCTTCCTTTATTATATCTCACACTGAAACCAAATTGTCCCAAAATCAAATTCGGTATATTTAGTTTATCAGCTGTGATGTAAATTTGATTTTTCACTTCATCTGAAACAACATGTATTGTAAATATGTAGTGTATTAGTAAATCAATTGGACTTTGAGCTGTCTCCTTTACCCGCAGCTGAAAAAGGACTTAAAATCTTTAGTTTTGAACTCCCACCTCGAAGATCTGCGTCAATAATGTAGCAGGCGCCGTGAAAACTTAGAGTTTCATGCGAGCTAACAAAAACGAAAAGTTAATTTAATTGAAAAAAAATTAACGTTTTAAGAGTTATACGTAACAAAAACAATTATATATATATATATATATATATATATTTACGAGTATGTATGCCAAGAATAACTTTCAAATTTTTACAGCAGTGGAGGCCAGATCTCGGAAACAGTTTCACTCAGCACCTATTGAATGAGTTAACGGTTGTTCCAAGCACCGAAAAAATTCAAAATTAATTGTTCAAAAATCTTCCCTTGTTATACGTTAAGAGTTTTCCAAAAAGTGGTGTTCTTCGGATGTTAACAGAAAAATTGCATTTTTTGAGAGCATTTTGTGATAACACAGCCCGGAAACATTTCCCTTAAAGTATCGATGGTCTTGTTTCTGGATACTTTTCATGGATTTCCAGAACACAATTGACAAGAACAAAACTCTGTTGATTATATGATGGCTTGAGCTCTTGTGTTAACTGAACTTAATAAGCCTAAATCCCAAGTCTTTAGGCACAATATGGTGTAAGGAATTTTTGAGGCAAGAGAATTTAGCTCGATGGAGCTATCAAAATGGTACACATAGCCAAACTTGTTGGATAAATATAATCAATTTAAAGTCATTTATCGGCACAAATGACAGAGGCAGAAATCACAGTTAATATTTGGTCATTGACGCTTTTTAACCGCTGAAGCGCTTTTCGGCCCACCTCCACCTCCAATTTGATGATTACTCAACAATCAACAAATGGCGAAACCTAAAGTGTGCACTAAGCTGCCCTCGAAGGGCTTAATTTGATGTCAAACTGGTTGTCTTTCCCTGAAATTAGAAAATTACTTTTAATTTTTCTTTTTTCTTTTCTATAATTATAATTGTTTGATCAAATTAGAATTCAAACCCTGCCGTGCCAAGTATTAGTAAGCAGTGCTAACTACTTGGCTATTTCCTCCTTTTAATAGTTTTTATTTGATATTATTATTTACTTTTAATGTGTGGTCTAGATTTCAAATTCTTTTCGAACGATAAACCACAAGAATGCTATTTCACTCCAATGTTGTTGTGAAAACAGAAGAAGAGACTGTGGTAAATTTATAGAGCCTTGCTTATCTCACAGCGTCGTGAGTTCCATATACTTTAAAGAATATAATCGCACATGAAGTCACTATTTTGCCTAAATGTACTCATGGGTGAAAACACTGGACAGACAGAGTTGAGGCAAGTATCAGTAAGCTCTAATGTACTATTCGACATGGCAAAGCATTCACATTCAGTGGGCCAAGAGAACTTTTTTAAAGAAAAATTATATATTTTCATTATAATAAAGACAAGTACCGCCCACTGTATATGTGACGAAGTTGGTTTGGTGACGTCAACGGTTGTCGTAACCTTGTATTCTCAAAGCTTTGATATTTATATAGAAGTATCAGACTATGAAGCATACATGTAGGAGTCTCACATGCCAATGCGTCACAGTTAGCAGCAAGCATTGAATATTAACATCTTACTTTTCTTACTTTTCATGCAAGAAATTTACTAGCAGTAGTTGAGATTCCCAGCCGAAGGGTAATCGCAACCAGAAAAATGAACGTAATTTTTATTTGAATTTATTTTTGTCTTGCTTTCGAGGGGCTACGTGAATAATCGTGGCATATGCGGATAAACCCTTAACTCTTGAGTACTTGGGAACTAGTATTTGTCAATTTATGGCTGAGATACTGTCCAATACGTGCCAAAAAGTGGTTGATAATTACTTCAAGCGTATCGAAGTTTCCAAAAAATATACGAAATGCATGATGTGGTATTTCACATATATTGCCAAAGTTCATGTTTTATATTAAAAAAAAAAAAATCATGAAAAATATTTTAAATGCTTTTATTGTTTGCACCAAAAAGCACATTCGCATTTAATTTTTTTCAATGTTTTGTTTTGCATATCAGTGAAATTACTTGAGCAATTTCAACGCACCAAAGCAACCACAATAAAAATTTGATAAAAATTTAACATGAAAAAGCGTTTTTAAATTTCTCTTCAAAATTCCGAGAACTCATTTGTAGATAAGAATTTGAGAGAATTGTACTTTTTTATGTATGTATGTATTTTATATAATATAAGCAAACTTACGAGATTGATTGGAAATTTGGCGCGCACGTAATGATCTTATCCAAGCCGTTGACATCATCGAGAACACCACCCAGCCATTGTGGATATGAAATTGGCCATAAGGATGCATTTATTTTGAGTCCAGTTGCATTTTCAATTTTAATTCTCTCTGTTCGATTGTTCCAATTGTAGAGGTATATGGCACCCGTCTCCATGTAACTGCCATCAGACCCAATTGTTTTTGCTTTCGGTGCACCAATTACAATTCTAGGCAGATCCGAGCCATATTCAGTAACGCCACCCAATCTGATCGTATAACCGAACAGAGAGCCATCATTATCCGGGCTGCGTATAACAAGGGTAGGTTTTGGATCGAAATTAAATGTTTGCGCGGTAAAAAAATTCAAACACGAAATAATACAAAGCGAAAATAATCTACGCATTTCGCAGCAGCCACAGTTACATATGATATTAACGAACCGACTCGATTGCTCCACGAACACTGACTGACCGTCTGAGTGAGTGAGCGAATGAAGGAGCAAGTGAGTGATGCTAGTTTGATTAAAATCTTCATTTCTTTTTTAACTTTTTTGACAGAATTTGTATAATTTCTCATGAAATTATGTATAATTATGTACATCAGTGCAAATCGTTGAGGTGTGCGCTGCTGTTAATATCCAAGCAGTACGATGGATGGGCCCAGCGCAAGAGCGAGTAGGTCTTTGTGAAACTTACTCTACCGGACGTACAAAGGGCCGAAAATTTCTGATCGGATTTGTGGTGGAATGGCCCATCGCCGAGTACTGTCATTCACCCTGTTGGATGAAAGTCTCGCCCCAATCTGCATCAAATAAAACTACAACAAACCCATCACTGATTTGCTCCCACGTTCTGTCGTAAGATTAGGATAATGAGACCAGACCACGATGTAAAAAGTGTGCTAGGTGATTTTAAGGATAAGGGGGACATAGAAATTATTTTCAGCACAATTGTCTGGAACTTCAGTATCCAGAATAAAAACGGGTTGAGACTAATCGACTTCACCGGTGCCGCAAATATGGTTGTCTGTAGTACTAGATTCCAGCACAAGAAAATTCATCAACTCAATACCAGATCGATGTTGAATGTGTGAATGTTGTAATAAACGGAATAAAGATCTCTACTCGAACCACTATAGAGCAAACAGAGAACTTAACTCGCATTGTAGTGATTGACTACTACACGTTCGGTATGAGATAGATACTGACAATTGAAGAGAGACGCATTTGCAGTCAAAAAAGTGACCGAGATGAGTATGTATGAAAGGCTTGATAAGCTGGCTGTCAAAGGTAATGTTCGAAAAATCTATGAGAAGACGAGTTGCAGAAGGTTTCAAGACCGGACCAGACTCCTGAAGGACAACAAGGGGTGATCTAGTAACAAACGCCCAGCGTATATCGAATTTATGAAGGGAACACTTCTGCTGAATAGTAGTCAAAATGGAAAATCTGGAGATGGTGAACCTGAAACCCCATCGATGATGATGGAAAAGACGTTCCATTAGCTGACTATAATGAGTTCCGAATAGCCATTGCCCACACAAAGAACAACAAAGCGACTGGAACTGAAGGCCAACCGACAGAGCTATTAAAACACGGTGCTAAAAAACCGATGAGGTGAATGAGTCAGCTTCTTTGCAAAATATGGTCAAATTAGAGCATAACTGATGATTAGAAACCAAATGTAGTTGACCCAATCTGTGGTCTGCGCCTATCACTGTGGGATAAGCCTATTGAGTATTGCTTATAAGGCCCTATCAAGCGTATTGTGTGAAAGGCTAAAGCCTTCCGTCGACAGACTAGTGTAGGTTTAGACCTGAAAAATCAACCATTGACCGGAATTCACCGTGTAACAAATCTTGGGACAAACCCGTGGAAAGAGAAGTGACTCACACCAGTGTTAACCAGTGTAAAGCAACACGAAAAGCTCCGGCAGGTTCGAGAGAGAAAGTAAACAGTTGCTGTCCTGCAGTCATGACTTTCGTGCGGCGAGCTCTGCTTTCGCTAAACTGGATTCGGAAGCGAAGCATAAGGTCTAATAGAGATTGAGGGAGATACGAAATATCTCTTGTCGTCAAACAAATTGTCATCACATTCGCGACACAGCTGCCGTGTTACCATTGATTTTGGCTTAATTGCGACAGAAATTTCCCGGCCTCGGAGTCTCTCGTCTTGGCTTTGTCAATTGGGTACCAAGATCATGAAATTTGAAACCATTAAATTTTTTTGTGGAACTTCTTAATGCGAATAAACCTTTCACTTTTGAGAGCTACAAAACCAACATTCATTGTTATGGCTGGGATACCGTCCATTGCGGCAAAAAGTAGTCGAAAATTACTTCAAACGGATCGAAATTTTAGAAAATTTTTGAGGCCAATTTTCAAACTTTCAAACAAAAAACAATTTCGTGACAAAAAAAAAATATTCCTAATGCATTTTCTACACTTTATATGAAAAAAGAAGTTAAAGATTTTTTATACATTGGTATTTTATATTTTATTTATTGTTTTTTTTCGGTAGTGTTAAAGCAAATTTTCATAAAAAAGGTATTTTCATCAAATTACGATTTCTTCACTTTTAAAAAATATACTTGTATATTTTATATATAAATATATACATAAATTTTTGACACTTAGGAAAAATTGTTTTAAAATTTTTTTTAATAAATTAAATAATTTTAAATTCACTTAGATTAAAGATAATTGCTGGCATTTTTAATTACACTCAACGTTTTCATCCAACTCCATATCTATATCGTCCGCAACTTTATCTAGTTGATCTTTCATGAGGGCTTTCTCTTCCTTATCCTTGTAATTCTCCTCCATGGCTTCGCGTGTCAGGCGTTTAAAGAAACCAAACTGGAGGTAAGAAAAATTAAACTTAATAAATACACATATGTAAATATATATGACGTTGTTAGTTTTGAATGGAAAAAAGTTATTATCTGCAAACCTTTTTCAATAAGAGTACAATTCCAACTAATAACAATAAACCACCAATTGCAGCAACAACATAGATCCAAAGCGTACTCTTCTTATTGATTTTCACAAACAAGGCAGCTTTAAGGCGCTTCTTTGTGCTCAGTAGCCTGTAAAAAAATGTTAAAATGTAAATTGAGCTCAAAATAGACTCTTAAAATTAATAAAATTTTTCTTTATTTTTTTCTCTTTTGACACTTACCCATTCAATTTGGCACCCGGTTGCAGATCCACCATGGCGACATGTGCCAAATACTCTCTATCGCGCAACATCAAATTCTCAACATTGTGCCATTGAATTTCGTATTGTAATTTTAATGCTAACTTTTGTGCAGAACGCAAAGTAGAGGTTAATGGAAAATTACCGAAAGCGCATAATCTTTTCACGTTGGTCTCTCCATTCGGTTGGCAACTAAGAAATGTTGTGCGATTTTCCGGTATATGATAGACATTCAACAACTCGGTTGTATTCAATTCTTCATGTGATAACGATTGTGTTGTATTAAAGCTCATTGGTGGATATATGAAGTCCTTGATGTAAACTTGTGCTGTAATGTTGCTCACATAGTCTTGTTCAATTCCTTTGTCGTCCACATAGCCAATGGGAAGAGCGGCACTCAGAATATTTAAACCTCCCAACGAACTTGGTCCGTTGTTGGTTAACTTTAGTTTGTTAAGGAAATGTAAATTATATATGTACATCTATACTTTTTAAATTACATATTTTCAAGCAAGCTTCACGAACCTCAAAATATCTTTTTACCCTATAACGTTTTTCTTCGTTTAAAATTTCTGTGATCTCATTAGAGGTCGTCCTTTAATTACAAAATATTAATAGAATAACAATTTAATTGATATCAGCCATTGTCGAATACACTCACTCAGTTATCCAAATCTCTGCTGCTGTTATTAATTCTATTGTATTGACAACAGAATTGTCAGCTGGCGTTTTCTCATCACCAGCGCTCGATACGTGTGCTTCTATAGTCAATTTATCAATGCCCACAACTTCGTTCAAATCCAAACTCACCTCTACCTCCAGCGTTGTATTACCCGTGAACGCTTGTCGTTGCGCTAAACTGCATATAAGCCAGTCGCTATTGAGTTCCATGATGCATTCGGCTGGCATTTGGGCGATTGGCATACTTGGCGCTGATCTTATGATCAACTTTGTGTAGAGAGCATTCTCGCCAACATTTTTTATCTTATATTTTAGAGGTAGAACTTTCGTGCTTCCCAATGTGATTTTAGGTCTGAAAAATAAAAATAAAAATAAAAATAAATAAATATATATGCGAGTATATATACTTAGTATTTAACACTAAATATTTTACATAAAAATCTATAAATTTTAATAGCTTTAATTTATTTGATTTCATTTTAATTATATATTTCGTTTTATTCTATTTTTTATTTCTTCCTCTTGATTTATTTTAATTTAATTCGTTTCCCTTTGCTCTATATCAATTAATTTTATTAAAAATAGTTGTTTTCCTTCTTTATTTATTTATAATTATATATTGTTAATTTTTCAAAACATTTTATTTTTATAATTCGATTTTGCGGCCCTGCTATACAGTATTTTTTTGATATAAGTTTTAAGTAAACTACGAGGCTTGGTTGTTTGTATGAATTGAATATTTGTTATACAACAAAGAAAAATGGTAGAAGTAACTGCTGTTTCGGAGATCACCACATCTCCTCATCAGACTTCTTATGGCAGGGATCGAACCAACGGATCCTGACTTAGTTTTTATTTTTACTAGGTCATTTTAAGGTATTTAACTTTATTAAATTTTATTTTTGTTATTTAATTTTTATTAATTTCCTTTCATTTTATTTCATTTAATTCAATTTTATTTTATTTTATTTTATTTTATTTTATTTTATTTTATTTTATTTTATTTTATTTTATTTTATTTTATTTTATTTTATTTTATTTTATTTTTTTTTATTTTATTTAATTTTATTTAATTTTATTTAATTTTATTTAGTTTTATTTAATTTTATTTTATTTATTTTTATTTTATTTTATTTATTTTTTTGTTGTACTTAATTTTGTTTATTTAATTTTTTGTTATTTTACGATATCTGTTATTGTTATGTATTTTGTTTTATTATTTCAATATGTATTGTGTTTTACTTATTATATTCAAAATTAATTTTATTTAGTTTTATTGTTTTTACTTAATTTCATTTGGATTAATTAATTTATTTATGTTTTATTTTTTTCTTGTTTTATTTTATTTTACATTATTTATTTTCCTTTTGCGTTTATTTAATTTTAGTTTATTTAATTAGTGACTTTTTTTTGAAGGCCGCGGTAGACGAGTGGTTTGCATTGCGTATTGCCATTGGGAAGACACGGGCTCAAATCCTGGTGTCCTACTAACATCCGAAAGGTTAAAGAAAATTTATTTAAATAATAACTTAAATTAAATTTTCTAAATGTGGTCGCCCCCCGGAAGGGAATGAAACCCTCAGATTGTATTTCAGACATGAAATAAAGCTTCTCGTAAAAAACCATCAGTCGTTCGGAGGCGGCTTAGTATAAACTGTGAGTCCCTCCATTTGTTGGAAAAACATCAAGACGCATAAGCAAAAATTGGAGGAGGAGCTCGGATGAAAATTATTTTTGTTAATTGAATTTAATTTACCATTTTATTTTGTTTTTTTCTTCAGTTTGTTTTTGAGTTTTATTTTATTTATGTCTAGCATAGTATTATTTCTAGTGTTATATATTTACGGTATATCCACATTCTGTAGCTGCAAATCGGCCACACAAACACTACCCTCGCAATCGTGCAAATACTGAATAGTAATTTTGATCAGATTCGGCAAAGTCGGATCGACTGCAGCACAATTTTCACAAAAATCTTAAAACGGAGTAAAAAATGTCTTAAAAATATTTTAAATATCTGGAAAATCTTTGATTTTCAACCCACCGGTCTCACTTGCTGTCTTTGCGTCGTTCTTCAAGCGATATGAGAGTTCCATTAGCATCGGCACAAATACGGAAGCTTCAGTAGATGTAATTTTTGCTAGACAATCAAAACATGTTGCGTGTGGTTTCGCTAGGAACGTTTTATTGCGGATACACTCTCCAGTATCAATTCTTTCATCAGCTTTCAAATCCAATAAAACCTCTTGGTTCTTTACTCTAGTAAAATTTGTCAAGATATTAACGCAGATGTCTATTCTTACTTCCTTTGTATTTAACGGTAGATAAGCATTTAAGGCTTTTATAGATGCGTTAATTTTTACCACGGGATAGGAACGATAGAGAAAAACTGTGTCAGCGTTGGGCGCACCTATGGCAAGACAATTTTGATCATTACCATATAGGTCCAGACTCTTCGAGAGACCCAACCCGAACATGCTATTGCTGCCGATCTGAGGAATCGCTTTTAATATTTGTCTTGGCTGGGTATCGAGACCATTTGGTCCACCAAAATAAATTACTACAGCTCCTTCATTATCAGCTCCGGCGAATGGCGCACTAATTGCTAGGTCTTGAAGTGTTTTTGTTAAAGATAGGTGGGTGGAAATTCAAAAAAAAAAAAAATATATTATTATTATCTCTTACCTCTAAATATATTTTTTAACTTAATTCGTATTTCACTTACCATTATATCCATCTTTATTAATATCGCCCAACTTTGTGATCGCAGCTCCAAAATAGCCGCTATTCGGAAAAGGTGAATTCAAAATCGATGGCTTGAAATTTATCTTGTGAAAGATAAATAGATTATTTTTTCATATTATAACACAAAAATACTAACGTATGTGTTATTTCGAAGCTGTTACTTTATAAAACTTGGCTAGTAAAAACAACGACAGCATAAAAATAGAACCAAAAAGGCCACATTCCTCGTCGTTCCTTTGAATGTCATTACGCCGGCTTGGATCTTAGGGCTTATAAAGTTCAGTTGATACAAGAACTCAAGCCTGCCGATCATCAATACTGACGTGTATTTGTTGATTGGGTATATAAAATGCATGAACACGATCCGGAATTTCTTCGAAAAATAATATTGACTGTCTAGGCCAATTTTCACCTTGAATAATCCGAGCATTCGAGGCTCGGAAAATCCAAAATTAATTATTGAAAAGTCTCTCTAGGTGCACTTTGTGGTCCACTGGGGTGATTGAACCAACAGTTACGGCGAATGGTTTGCGCTATCGAGAGATCATTAATAATTTTTTATGGACGGAACTAAATGGTATTGGTTTGTACTAAGTTCGTCTGCGGTGTTACGTGCCGTACAAACATCGAAGCCATCTATATTTTAGGGGACTTTTAAGGGAAACGTATTTGGACCGTGTTATTGGCCACCGAAGTCTTGCGATTTAACATTTTACGATTTTCTCCTTTGGGACCACGTGAATGATAAGGTGTACACCAACAGATCAACGTCGATGCAAGGGCTCAAAGTTGTGACTAGGGAAAAAATGGAATGAAAATCTAATAAAAAAGTGCTATATGTGTAGCCGTGGCGGCCATATGGCTGATATTAATCCTCTTTACATTGAGATAAAGATCCAAACATATATCTAAAAATACCTCCTATTGAAAAGCCCTGTATCCTGGCCTATAATTTAACATTATTATAAGAGTATAAGTATTTGCCAATATGTTTTAAATATGAGTCCACTCTTGAGACCAAACATCGTCCACATGAACGTCCTCCGATTGAGGTAAGAAAACAAAAAAGAAAAAGAAAGGAATATAACATTTTGGCTTTATTTTTGAAGAAATATGGAGCAAGGCTCAGTCTATATGCTCGTTCTATGTTAAATTTTCTTCTGAAGAGGTTCACACATATAGAAGCATTCCCAAAAGAAATGCAAAACGACATGCTCTGGGTCTCCGGCATAGGGATATACTAAGCGACCGAGCCGCAAACGAGCTGTCGAGCCATAACTAGAATTCACAACAAAAAAGGCAATGGAATTAGAAATGTCCACTTTGTTTGTAATTACGATAACTTGATTTCAGAGCTGCTTAGACTGAGAGACAAAAAGTAACTTTAAAAGCGATAAAGTTTATTGTCTACATCTTCACGAGAAAGACAAATTTTCACCAATATAACAAGCATCCAGCATCCTCAACAACTCGGTTGAATGTCTCGGTATAATTCTTGATACAAAAAGAATTGACTGGATTTATATATTGAAAACATGACCAGTAAGCGCAACGAATTCTTAATTCTTACAGAAGGAACAATGCAACAAAACTGAGTTACGACCCCAAAAAGTTCGGTAGATTTTCACAAGTGTCATAAGCCTCCATACTAAACTTTCAGTTACTGATATACCGATTGACACTAAAGAAAAGTGCCAATATGCCTGTTAGTTGGAACAATTGGTGCATTGAGATTTTTCTCAGTGCATACACAGAGGGGAATACAAGCGAAATATACACGTATGTATATTATCATAATAAATCATAATTATAATATTAAAGTGAATTTGTAAAACGTGTATTTTTCCACTTACATGGTCCAGGTTAACCCGATTAATATAAACATATACTCTTCCGGCATTGTAAATGTTTTTGGTACTATAATATGGTGCACTAATGAGAATATCATCCAAACCGTCGCCTGTGATGTCCTCCACTAACAATGCATAGCCATAGAATTCACCATATTGCTGGCCCTCCAATGTTAGTTCCACAAAAGCATCATTTCTCACCTTGCTGTAGATAAATGCCTGATGTGTGCATGAAAAATCTTTAGAAATTTTAGTTATTAGCACAGTAAATTACAAACTTACCTTTCCAAATTTTTTATTAGCACCAAAACCTGGCTGTGTAGTTACATAAAACAATTGCCGGCGATTGCCGCTGAAATAGCCGGAATCAATTGCATAACCGGTGTACTCAAAAAAGTTGCTATGTCCCACTTCGAATATTGATTGACCCTTTTTGTTTAAATGCACTACGGTGCCTGTGAATCAATTTATTTACTTTAGCTGAATACTTTTCAAACGAAATCTTGCTCACCTGACCAGCCATATATACCAGGTGCACCCGCCAAAATTTCTTCATTGTTCGGGGTTATGTGTACACTAAAACCAAATTCACCAAATATTAATCCGAAAACGAAGTTTCCGTCATCATACTGCCTCCTCTCTTGATCTATACAAATTTTATTTATATATCAAAAATACGCATAAATAGTAATGATGAATGATATACAATAGATATACCTTTATCCGTAAAAGGACTAAGAGTCCAAGCGATGCTGTCGTTTGATTCCTTGGCTAAGCCGTTTTTCAAGTAGTAACAAACTCCATGCATTGCCAGGTCTTTTCTCCAATTACTATACCTCCCAGAACTAAATATGCCATGAAAAAAATTTACAGTTGAATGTTTTAAAATCGGAGTGTATATAATTAAAAAAATTAGTATGAGTACGCCCAAGGATCTATGCCGTTAAAATCTCATTAAACTCCAGCTGAAAGAGCTCTACTAAAATAGAAAAAGAACGCCCGTCAACGAACAAAAGAAAAGTTCGACATCGAAAAGCAATCAAACAACAGAGTGACGAGCAGTTTTTCACTCGACTTGCACCACTGCTCCCTGACAGCACTCATCAGCAACTCGCTATACAGGATTTCAAGCTCTCTACTCACAGCTGCAAAGGAAACTATGCGATTTTGTACAGGTCGCAAAGTCGCGGTAGAGAGAAAGCGAATTGCCTACTTCGTAACGTTGCGATTGAGCACTACACGTGTGGGATGGATGGGATAGATACCGGGAAACAAGACATATCTGCAGACATAAGCTTAAGAAGCTGGTCTACAAGGATAATGCTCAAAAATTCAATGAAAACATACAACGACGGAAGATAGGTTTCAATATCGGAGCAGACTCTTTTAAGACTCAACAGGGAGCACTTCTCCATCCTGCTGATTGGAAGTGCAAATGGTGCACCCGGAAACGTTGAACCCGAAAAACCAATCGATGACTTTATTAATTTAATGATTGAGAAAATAATATGAGCTGCAGAGCTGAATAGGCAAGGTACAATCTTCTATAGGAGTGTATAGCTGATGGCATACGCCGATGATATTGACATGCGTGGTCTGAACAACCGCGTCGTGAGTACTGGCAAGACGAAATACTTCCTGCTCTCACACAAATAGTCATCGCATTCGTGACTCGGCTTCCATCACTGTTGACAGTCATAACTTCGAAGTTGTAGAAAATTTCGTCTATCTGGGAACGAGTACTAACGCCAACAACAATGTCAGCCTAGAAATCCAACGTATAATCACTCTTGCCAAAGAGTGCTACTTTGCATTGAGTAGGCAATAGAAAAGTTAAGTCCTCTATCAAAAAAAGAAAAAAACCCTCATCGTTCCCGTCCTGCTATATGGTGCGGAAGCATGGACGATGACAACATCTGATGAGTCGGTGTTAGGGGTTTTCGAGAGAAAGGTTTTGCGTAAGTTCTACGATCGCCTACGAGTTGGTAACGGTTAACACAGCAGGCTAGGCTAGGTCATGTGGTCCGGATGGTTACGAATACTCCAGATCTGAAAGTTTTCGATGAAGTACCCGCCGGTGGAAGCAGACGAAGAGAAAGATTTTAACTCCGTTGGAAGGACCTGGTAGAGAGGACCTATCAAAAAGGAGCTGGCCCTACTTGGTATCTGCAATTGGTGCCAAACAGCGAGAAAAAGTAATGAATGGTGCGATGTTATAAATTCAGCTAAATTCGCCTAAGCGCTGTCTACGTCAGTAAAGTAAATAATTAATATCGAACTAGTTTTCCGCCCTCTCGATCCATTTCCTTAAAACTTTCCGTGTCGTGTGGTACAGAGCGCTTGCTTAGATTTTTTAACCATACTTTTTTTTAGTTATTTGATAATCGCGCACGTTTAAATCATACTTACTAAATTGCTGTTAGTAAAGGCGCACATATGACTAAAGGATCCTTATCTCCACTGCCACCTTCCATGGCACCACCCAACCACTGATGAGTTGCATTTGGTACAAGATTACCAAAGCTGGATGATATTCTGAGTTTAGCAAAGTTAAATGGTTCAATTTGGTCGGTTTTTAAATTATATTTGTAAATGGTGCCACTCTCTGTCCTTATACCGTCAGTCTGCTGTAGTACCGCTTGTGGAGCACCAATTAAAATGCTGGAAAAGAAGTTTCCATTATTCTTTCAATTGTAGCGAAAATGCTTTATTTATTTTTTTTTTTTTTTGTTATATATTTTACACAGCCACTCATACACAAAGGTACATATAAAAAGCGGCTTCCAATAAGAGATGTAATTTTGAATAGCCTACATTTCTTTTAGGTTTGGCAAGCAAAAACTATCAAATTCAATAAAAATGGAAGGACACACGCTCCAACGATGAAATGAAATTATTAATATTCACTTATAAAAGTTCAACAAAAAATTAACAACATTGATTAGGAAATTCCAAAATTTAATTACAGCCTCTCCATCCTCAACGAGTAACTGTTTGGTGCGGTTTGTGGACCGACGAGGTCATTGGACCTTAGTTTTTTGAATTGGTCAACAATTAGACGTTACGTGCCACGCGTGCTATAAAACCATCGATCTTTTGAGAGAGAGGATTTTTTGTGTAACAAAATAACACCTCTTTTTGGAAAGCGCGTCGTGTGTGTGAAAGCAATGTATATTTGTATGTACACCTTTTGCCACGCAACACTATTGTATAACCGAATAATGAACTAGACTTTTCAGCCGACTTGTGTTTAATATCGTTGGTGGCCGGTTTGCGTATGATTAGAGTCGGCTTTGGAGTTAAATTAAATGTTTGCACCGCAAAAACATTCAAACAAAAAATAATAGAGAATACAGTTAGTCGATACATTTTTCTACGGTCACTTGCAGTTTTCGCGGACCGCTTGGATTTCTTCCCAATCGCTGACTGAATAAATAAATGTTCTTTTAACATTTTCTTCTTCAACACAAAATTTTAATCATGTTTTTTTTTTATACATATACGCATAAGTACATAATTACTGAATATGTATTTCAAAAATTTTTATGACCGACTCTACTGTTTAGATACGGTATTTTAGGTTTGTTTAGCTAACGGTTGCTTTTAACGGTATTCAGAAATTACAATAACAATATTTGTAGTTTAAATATTATAGGACGTCAAGACGAATCAATTTAGCAATGCGAGCCTGTCCATTTGAACCGAATTCAGTGTGCCAGTTTACGGGATAGTTTCATAATAAGAAATTAGAACTGCAAACGCTAACCCTTTTAAGTGTAAAATTTAAAGCCTTTGGAACAACAGGTTTGCTTTTATACTGATTTAAAACTCTTTGTCCCAAGGGGCTGTTTGAATAAACTTGCTTCCCACAATTTTAACTTAAAAGCCGTGCGTCTGCCTCAGTTTTCCATGATGATTAATTTGTATGTAATTCATTTAATTATTTATTCATAATTCTCTTTCCGAAACTCGCATAAAATAAATACAAAATTCTAAGAAGTTGAAAATAAAACGACTGGCTAAAATTTATGTGAAACAGTTGTCGGAAAGAAGAGAGTGCTTCATTCTTTTTTTTGGAGCATAACCTTCATCATCATTTCATTTCTTCTTAGATGGATATGCTGAACTGATTGACATTTTTGGTCCTTTTTCTTTTGATCGCCTGCTTGTAGAGTCCAACTGATATATACTTCGTTATATTTGAAAGTAAGATCTTTATAAAGACCAGCTGCTGCCAATAGCTCTGACGTATTTTTTTTTTACTCGACCAATACTACTTTCGATTCAGACAATCACTTAAAGATTTAGTTGTGGCGGCGCTTGATAACCTCTGAAGCGATTTTCGACCAACAAAAGGAGGGGTATTCAGTTTATACCAAGCCGGCACCGAACTACTGAGGGTTTTTATGAGGAGCCTCTATTGCATGTCATACACTTGGAGGAGTTGACATTCCCCATAGAGGTGCGACCGCAGTTAGAAAATGCGTCTTAAGTTTTTTTTAAATGCATTTTCTATAATATTTAGATTGATCGATCCTCAGACTTCTCTGGAGGCCGATTCTTCACCAGCCAAAGAATTCGCTAAAGACAAAAACAGATGGTGCGAGGGCCGGACTATAAAGTGTATGGATATCACCAATCAAGTTCTCGCAGCTTCTGGCGAGCCACTATCGATATGTGTAGCCGGCGTTGTTCTGTTAAAAATCAATTCTCCTCCTGCGGGCCCTTTATATATGGATTGATTTTGATATGATTTAGCGGCAGTTCGCAGAAGGCAACTGTTTCCATAAGGGTTATTCTCGTTGACTCATATGTCACCCATACAGAAAAAAGTAGCACTAGCTTTTCTTCGTAGCTGATTTCTACGTGGCGGATCCCATATCCAGCCTACAGCCTCGCCAGACGATGGGGCTTAAACTTTTTACACATGCAAAAGCAAGCCTGCCGCTTGCTTCAAAACCGAAGCCTACTCGCAGCCGCCTCTGTAATGAGCAGACACTGTATTTAGACTTCACTTTGATCTAACTTTTAATCCGAATAAGTCGGAGTGGCTTCACCGAAGCTTCCTCTCTTTTAGCCGTGACGTACATTGTTATCGAACAATCATTCAAGTATTTGAATCATATTCACATTTTGTTTTTGTTTCGTGATTCAACTCATTTTATGTTTATCGCACAACGAAAGCGAAAGCCACACAAGGAATGAGGCAATGACGAACACTGCAATTACTCATATAATTCCACAAATATTCGGCATAATGTGGTGTACAATTCGCTCGATTTCAATAAGTCGCTGATAAGAAAAATGCAAATGAGTCAGGCAGCGTGAAGCCGAATACTAAAAACGCGAGTCGGTTAGAGTAAGGGCATCATTTGCACCAAATATACTCCAGCCTATACTTGGAATTTGTGCTGTGGCATATTTGCCAATTTTTTTTTTTTTTTTTTTAAATATTTTGAGCATTGTAAAGTTATCAAGTTGTAAAGGGTGGTTCATTTAAAGGTTTCCAACTGTTTTAAAGAAATAAAATACAGAATATTTAAGTCTAATGGGGAATGTTAATTATCGAATGCAAGCTGCGCCTACATCTCAGATGGTCTACCCGTTGAGTCCAATTTCCGATTATTTGTACGAGCATTTCGACTTTATGTTTTACATTTCCCCACATGAAAAAATTTAATGATATGAAATCACAACGTGAAATTATCTACCCAACAAAGTGGTTGAATTGTCTTGTTGAAACCAAATGTTATGAGATTACGAACTTCAATTTCGAGCCTCAAATAGTCGTTTATAATGGTGCGATGACGGTCGCGATATTGACGTTTACATTCTCACCTGCATCATTTGGGAAGAAATGCGGACCGATGGTTCCGCTGGCCCACAAACCATAACAAACCGTTATTATTTCTTGGATTAAATGGCTACTCTTATATCTCTTCAGGTTGGTCCCAAATGCGCCAAATAATGCTGGTTTACGTAGCCATTGAGCCAGAAATGAGCATAAGGCTGAACGAAATTTGTCCCGAAAACGTCGGATCTTCTTGGAACCTTAGAAGAGCCAATAAAGCGAAGCGGTGTCGCTTGGAAAAGTCGAGCCGCTTTAATTCTAGCAGAAGCAGTATTTTGTACTTATTTTATTTATTGCAAGATACTACACATCAGTCCGCCAAAACGAATCTTCACGCTCTTCGTGTACACTCTCAGATACGTTCGCTTTATTTTATACACTCGTGTTCTATTCGGTTGAATATTTTTCAACAATGAATGCTGGGACTCAAGATTGATGTTGTTGTTGCGAATAGTACGCTCAGTTGACCGATTCTGTTGACCTTAAGAGCAATTTTAAAGAAAAATATTCCTCTTCTTGAATCACCCATTACAAATTTTGTGCTCTATAAGATGGGTGATTGATTCAGAATTCCCGAATATATCGACTTATGTACCACTTGAATTTATTTCTGTTAGAGGTATAAGACTGTTCATTTACTCGTGTTCATTTACACCGTAATTGTGCCAGCGGTGAGGATAAGCGTATATTTTTGATTTTCATTCTGGTTGGAATTTCGAACAAAGCGCATAACGCTAACTGCTACTATCAACTCGAAAGGTATTTCAGTTGGCTCATAGTGCTGGTATATACAGCAAACTTTGGGACAGCAACACGTGTCGACCCAAAATTGTCATTGCCGTAATATTATTTATATACCTTACACGTTTTGAGTGTCGTTTAAGTCTACTCAACTCAGACCTCTTAATTCAACTCAACTTATTTTTCCACGTAATTCGATAACAAATATGAAACATTCTTTTCTCGGTTAAATGGAAAAGAATAATCGACAGCATTCGGCATTTTTGAAGTCCACTGAATTTCATTTAAAAAACAAAAAAGTCTTTTGTTTTTGATGAATTAGCAGACTGCAGAAAATGGTTGACTGTTGTCTTCACTTTCAGGGCCTCTTTCATGTTAAAATTTACCGTCTATTAATCTTAGTTATATTATTTTGTTTTGCGTTTGAGTTTGTCAAGCAGACATTTTTTTTTATAAATAAGAAAAACCAATTATCGTCATGCCGTAAAATTTTATCTGTACATTTTATACATATAATTTACAACAGAAGATTAACGTAAAGTTTATTCAACCTATATAAAGTATCGTCGTGGTCATTCCAGTTCATTGCACACAGGTAAAGTGAACAACAAAGAGGCAGACGAATTGGCTACAAAACTGAAATTTAATATAATTGAAAAAATAATTTATCATTTTACATGTCGTGACCGTAAATTTGTATATACATACATACGAGGGTATTAACAAAAGTTCGGTCGTTTGGTAACTTTGAATTTGTTTTAGGCAAAACTGCCAAAGCCTTTGCAATTACCTTATTTGTCTTTTTTTCAAATTATAAAACGAACGGCTAAAATGAAGGCGAGGAAACGAATAATAGCTATCAGAATGTCATGCCGTCCGAATAGATAAAGGCACTCCAGCTTTCAACTTATTCAATGCAGAACCTGACGATGGGAGCAGAGGAAGAAAACCTGCACTCCGTTGGAAAGATTAGATAGAGAAGGTCCTGGCTGTACTTGGTATTATATTTTCAATTGACACAATAACAGTGAAATGAAGGAAAGAGTGGTGCGCTGTTGTTAAGTCGGCTACAAAGGTTTAAGCTGTGTCTACGCCAGTAAAAAAAGAAGAAAAATTAAGCTAGCCAACCAGATTTTAAAAATACAATTTTAAATACAATGAAAGTATTTAGCCAAACATTACAAAGTCTTGACTCTCTAATGGAAATAATTGATAACTTTTTGCTTTTCAAGTGTTTGGTACTGAGAATAAAGCTAATTTTGATTTGTTTTAACGACGAACCCAGCGTTACACGCCTCAAGCTCAACTGACCAAAGGGTATGCTTGAAGGATAATCGAAATCAACCCGAGACCGATCGCGGAAGGTCGCGGATACAATTGCCTCTCACACTGCTGTCATAAAGGATATGAGTAAAAGGAGCAGGAATTTATTTAATTATTTAATGCACTTAGTACGTCAGTTTTTTTTTTATAAAAAAGGGAGTCAAAAGAGTCAATGTTAGCGATGTATATATGAGAATCGTTTCCCAAAGATCTGAAAGGGCCGTGCATTTCAAAGTTTGTTCTGCATGAACACAATAGCTGGGGCCTAAAATGTCTAGATGATCTCAAGCCAGCTAAGTAGGAATGGGCTATTGACATATATGTATATATATATAAAACCACTGAGGCGATTTTCCACCGAGCTATTGATATCACCTCTTATTAACTTAGTTAAAAATAAAATTCCAAGCATCTTTCTACGACTATGGAGTGTAGGCAGATTACTGAGCAGTAAACGACTTTTGTAAGAAGGCTCAAGA